AAAGGAAAATAACAAGTGTTGGTAAGGATATACAAAAATTGGAACCCTCATACATTGCTGGTAAGAATGTAAAATGGTGCAACTACTTTGGAAAACAGGAAGGTGGTTCCTGAAAAAGCTATGTATAGAATTACCATATGATCCAGCAATTCCATTCTTAGGCATATACCCAAACAAACTGAAAACAGTGACTTGGAAGAGATACTTGTACACCAACGTTCACTGCAGCATTATTCGCAATAGCCAAAAGGTGGAAACAACCCAAGTGTCCATAAACAGATGAATGGATAAACAAAATGTGATATATACATACCACGAATGTTATTCACCCATAAAAAGGAATGAAGTTCTGATACAAGCTATAACACGGATGAACCTTGAAAACATTACACTATGTGAAATAAGCCATACGTAAAAGTACAAATATTGTATAATTCCACTTACATGAAATATCTAGAATAGGCAAATTCATAAAGACATAGAACGGTGGTTGCCAGGGGCTGAAGGAAGGAGGAATAGGGCGTTATTGCTTAATGGTTACAAGGTTTCTATTTGGAATGATGAAAAAGTTTTGGAAATAGATGATGGGGATGGTTGTACAAAATTGTGAATGTAATTAATACAGGTGAATTGTACACTTAAAATGATTAAAATGGTAAATTTTGTTATAAATATATACATATATAATCTCCACATTTTTAAAAAAGTAAGAATCCAGATAGAAACCAGAGCATTTTTCTTATATTCCTCATCATTTGGCAGTGGTGGAAAACCCCTACAATGGACCAAAATATATGAGATGGATTTAAAATTGAAATAAAAAATAACCCAGCATATATCTTAGGGGCAATAATCATTCAGTGCATTGTCTACATTCCACAATCCTGGTGTTTTTAAACATGATTCAAGTTCAAAATGATGCCCTTGCCATCTTCCAAGATTCTCCATTATATTGGAAGTCCAAAAGTATGGCTGATATCAAAAGCATAAATGAGAGGAAGGAGAGGGTGGCAAATGACAACCATAACAGGTGTTCAGAAGCCACAGGAATGCCAGCATCACTCAGGAAGAATTTACGATGGAATGCAGAATTGGAAGCCAGAGCCAAACCTCAGGCAGGTAGGGGTGTTCAAGAAAATTAGCTGTGAACCAGATGCAATGGCTGAAGGTAAAAACCAGAGACGAAGTGGGCAATGCCCTGGGGTTGACCTTGGTGGACCAAGAAAGAACAAGATCAGAGCAAAGCCAGAGCTGAGCACAGGATCCAAAGACAAACAAAGGTAAAGCAGGGACAGAGTCCAGAAATGATGGCAGGACAGTGTGGTTAGGAATCAGAATAGTTAATACAAGCACTGATTGAATGCGAGCCTCTGGGCCACACTGTCAGTGGATCTGCAGCCCCTGCTTCAGAACTCCACTGGCGAGATTATAAAAAATGTAAGCAGTAGGGCCCAATTCCAGACTCACTGAACCAGCGTCTCAGGGGGGTAGGACCCGGGTGTATGCATTTTAACACGTTCCCAGATGATTCTTTGGCTCGCTAAAGTATGAGAACTGCAGATCAGGAGACACACATGCAGCTTCTGAAACAGACCAGAAGCCTACAGTTTCAACATTCCAGCACTCCAAGGGCACTGGATGTATCCTTACCGGGGGACTACGCGCCTCCTGCCATGACCATGCACGTCCTGCCAGCAAGTTTCAGTAAACATAGACTTACTTTAAACTTGCTGGGGCTGCAGAATGAGCGAACAACAGAGCCTGCTGGTCATGGAGCACCTGCCCCATGCAGAGCACTGTGCCGATTGCTTTCCTGGCATGGCTACATTTAATGCTTACTTATGGGGAGGTTCCCATTATTATTCTCAACTTACAGGTGATGAAGCTGAGAGTAAGAGAAGCCAAGTCACTTGTCCTGGGCCATCTGGTTGGGCAAGAACAGCTTCAGGTTCTGGGCAAGTTTGACTCTAAGACCTGTGGCTCTTTCCATACACCATTGCGTTGCAATAGTTAAATAAAGGGGCGGGGGGGAAGTTGTAGCATTAGTTTATGGTGAGTCTTTGGTTAATTAAAAAACCTCTTCACCACAGCATACCATGGCATTATAGTGAAGCAAGACTGCTGTCTTTTCTAATCACCTTGATCCCGAGCCAGAAGGTATTGTCAGGTTATGTAATCTCGTTCAGGCCTTTTTTTCATCTCAGTGAAGAAGGCTCTGAGATAAAGTTTGGGAAGAGATGGGAAACCAAAGCTCAGAGGAACAGATTAAAATGATGCAGAGGCATCCTGAATCAGGAGAAAAAAATGATAGGACATTGTTGATGGAGCTGTGGAAGGGAGATAAGATGCCAACGGCATCTCAGAGGGAGGAGAGAAGGGGAAGGAAAGAAACAGAGCAGAGGGAACAGAGATAACCGGGGTGGAGAAAAGAGATAAGAGGCTGCATAAGGGTAAGGCCAGGGAGGAGGACGGCAGGAACAAGCTTCTCTGCAGACAATGGGACCCAGGCCGCTTCCTTTCCCTCTTTCATTAGGTCTCTCAGGGTGTATTTTAAAAGTGGAGGGGTGGACGAATTTGGAGAAGATTTCAAATGCTAGATCTTGATTATTCAGTCTCTGTTTCTGAAAATATGGCCTCACTTGGAGGTAAATCTAAACTTGAGTCTCTTCAAGAATGTGAGACCCAGGCCCAAAGACGCTTCTGGCTTCATGCCCTTCACACTCCACCACCCATTTCCTGGTTGGTGGTATTCAGACAGACCAGGGCGGGAGAACGTCTAATCTCACTAAGGCAGTTAGGGGAAAACCTACAACTCCCAGCTGAATAGTCCTTTCCACCTTATACCAGAGTACAATCAAGATGGGTCCCTAGGGTACTCTATTCACCCAGAGGGGCCACAGCATGGGGTTAAGGACCAGGCTTTGGGGCTGCTCCAGACTTTGAAGCCCAGCTCAACTGCAGACTAGCTACTTTATGCATCTGAGCTTCCTTTCCTCAACTGTCAAACAGGGATAAAACTGGCAACTCCCTCAGAGAGAGATTGTTACAATTCCATAAACTAATGCATTAAAGTGCTTAGCATAGTGCCTGGCATAGAGTAAGTGCTCAAATCATTATAATGGCAATCACTAGTCCTGTTATTAGGTCCAAGCACAAAGCCATGTATACTTTGGTATGGTGGGCACCCCATAAAGATGATATTTATCCGTTGGATCAAGGAGGAATCAGGATACTTGATTCTAGTCCTAACTAGGGTGGGAACCCAGATGGGCACTTCACCTTTCTGTGTTTCCATTTTAATTCTCTGTGAAATGGAGATATGACCCTCCTCTGACACAGAGTACTGTGTGTTTGAGAATGCTTAGAAAAGTATGAAACAGCATAGAAATAGAGAAGTGGTTATTCCCATTTCTCTATGACTGCATCTTTACCGAGCTGACTACTCTCTGCCAAGCTTATAGTGTTTCTCTGTAGCTAAGAATTTTTGCTATAATTTGCCTTCACCCTCCCCCAGGGTTGAAGGTTTCCACCTCATTCCTCCATTGACTCCTAACACTCGCATCAAAGGTACAGTTCCACAGCTTCAAGAAAGTGTGTAGGCAGAATTTCTAAACTTTGATCCTTTTTTATCCCTTCTTTCTCTTTGTTTATGTCTCTTCACAGGGACATAAGAAATGATCCAAATACGTGGAATCATGAAATGCATCGTAAAGATGGCAATGGCTTTGTAGACTATAAGCTGCCTGGGAGTAGGGACGGTGTCTGTCGTCTTCATTCCTATATCTCAGCACCCAACGGGGCCCTTTGGCACACCAGAGACATGCAAAAAGCTTTTGTTGGATGAGTGAACGTGTGGAAATCAAAGTTGTCTACCCAACAGCCATTCCCAATTTCTCTCATGCTGCTTGATCCTAAGTTTTGGCTGAATGGCAATGTGCACAGCCTGGAAGCTGAGTACTGATTGGTGTGAATTGCTTTTAGAAATCTCATCCTCCTTTGCCAAAGGATAGGCATGTGACCCAGTGAAATATATGGCCAATGAAATATATGGGGAAGTCTTCTGGTAACTTCTATGAAAGATTTTCCTTTTGGATGAAGGATAAGAGTGACATTAGGGAAAAAGTCCCATTTCCCATCCACCTCTTTCCTTCCTGCTGAGGATGCTTTTGTGTGAGGGCATATTAGAGCTGTGGCGGCCATCTTGCAACCATGAAGGAAGAGCCAAGAAAGTCACAGAGATTCAAATATCTCATCTTAGTGAAGCTGTTGAATCTACCCTGAAACAGCCTAAGTCCAGATTTCTAGTTATGTGAAATAACTAAAAGTTTTTAATTGTCACTACTTTTTCATATTCTCTTACTTGCAGCTGAATACATTCTTACTGAGAGAATGAACTATTATGCAGGAATAATTGTTTGTTCCCTGAGGAGTTTCTCCCATTATACTCAGTTACAAAAGGGCAGATAGTTGCCTTTTTACCAAATTCCTTGTTCTGCAACAAAGGTTTCCACCTTACGAATCCTCCATGTTTCTCTTATAATCTTAGCGTCATCTCCTCATTATCCCTCTGATGTCTCTGAAGAGAATAATAGCACCACCTTGACCCCCAGACATTCCTTCTCTGTTTATCTTTTCTGTTTTCTCATTATTACTTTCCACAGACCAAATGTTATTTCTTGGTTGTTAATTACTTTAATAGGCCTCATCCATAGTAATTGGGAGATTAAAGTCATTATCTTGTCTCCTCAGATCTTCTTGAGCAATTTTATTGATCATTTCTTTGAGCAAAATCATGTGGGGCTATTAGACCCACATAAACTTGTAACTTAGGCCGAGAGTTCTCTGATGAGTTAGCAACATGACTTTCTGGTGCAAAGTACCCTCCCCTTAGAACAGTTGTTCGCAAACATTGCTGCATATTAGAATGACCTGAGGTGCTTTAGAAGCTCCTGATGCCCAGGTCTACCCCGTGCCAATTAAATCAGGACCTCAGAGAGGAGTCGAGCATCAGTATTTTTTTAATTCCCTGTATGATCTCAAAGTGCAGCCACATTGTTTGAAAATCAATGCTTTAGACCAGTACTTCTCAATCTTTAACATGCATGTGAATCACACAGAGACTTTGTCCAAATGCAGATTCTGATTCTGCAGGGCTGACATTCCACATTTCTAACAAGGCCCCAGATAAAGATAAAACTGCTGGTCTGAGCCCCACATCTTGAATAGCAAGGGGCTAGAATCTAGATTTCTATTATATTGCTATTCTATTTCTATTGTAGTCTATTCTATTGCTGGATCTGAACAAATTAAATTCCACTTGGGTCCAATTGCACAGTCACAGACTAAAATCATCACTGCGATAAAGGCAAGAGCAGGGGCTGAGGATGAAAGAACTCAGAGGGCTGTTGTTTTTGATCTCTAGTTTAGCTATGGACTTGAGCTGACAAACCATCCTAGTTTGCCGGGGAGCAAGGGGGTTCCCACGTGTAGGACTCTGAATTTCAAAACCTGGACAAGTTGGTCCCCCTAGTTTCGGTAGTGTTCTTAAGAGAACAACAGAACAGCCAAGCTTTGCACTTCCACATTCCAATTCCTCTTTCTGGGAGTGACAGTCATGAGTTGTGGGTCTGCTGGGAAAGACGGCTCAAAGAGAAGAAATGCTGAGTTGCATGCACCCACAAGAACTTAATAAATGTGACTTCAGAAGGGTAAATAATCAGGCAGATGCAGGTAGACTTAGAAAACTACAAGGTCAAGTTTATGACATGGCCACAGAGATAAGTCTAGGGTACGTGGTTTAGGTCTCTGCCCTGGAACTGGTTTACTGTATAGCCTGGGGTAACTCATTTCCCCTTCCTGGGCCTCAGTTTCATCAGCTAAAAAATAGGAGGTGAATCGAAGGATATGTAAGGGTCTTTCCTGCTCTCCCACTCCCTTACTCTACATGCAACATTGATAAAGCATACAACTGTGGAACAGAACCTTTTCAGCTCAATTAGAAAATGAACCCGCCTTCTGTCTTGTGAGCAGCCTTCTCCAGAGCTCCCCAAGCTCCCTCCTAACAGTATTAGCATTCATCTTACTCGGGAACCCTCCCTTTCGCTGTCCTTTGATGCTCAGAGAGCTGAGAACTCACAGTGCTTTTTAAATTTTTTTTAAGATTGTAACATGTTTACAAATCCAAATGAAACTCTATTTTGAGACCCAGCCTTCTGGTTACAAGTGGCTTCCTCCTTCTGCTCTTGCATCCACCCAGGGAGCCCACTTCTCAACTTTTTGTTTTCTTTAGAGAGACAGAGAGTCTCCCCAGCCACCCATTGCCGGATTCCTGTTAACCTTTCATTAAGCCCGCTGACAGCTGGCTTCAGTTCTTCATGAGTTAGTTCAACACATTCCCATTTAAATGTGTCCCACCTGGCTTCATTAAGGCTCCTGCCAGGTTCTCCACTTGCAGCTTCCTCTGCAAATGCAAATAAGATTCTGAGTAAATAATGTGGGGACAAGGGAAGATTGAGCGATAAAGGGGTTGGGATTGGAGAACCATCAAAACACTCAGATTGCCGAGCATCTGAGTAAACTAGAATCCATTTGGGACCAACACAGGTCAATGCTGCAGTTCTTTATGCATGAAGTCCTAAATTTGGGCCTCGCTGTGAAGGACAGGGTAGTGGTTAAGAGTATGGCGTCCTTCCAGCCTGGTTCAAGTCCCGCCTCTGTCACAGGAAGTTGGACTACGTGACCTTGAGCAAATTCCTTCCCCTGTCTCTGTTTTCTCAGCTCCGAAAGCAGAAATAATGTTTCATCGGGCTGTGTGGATTCAATGCGAAATTGCCTTGCAACACTTAATAGAGTGCCCAGAACACAGCAAATGCTCCTTAAGGATTGGATGTTCTCTCTTTCATTTAGCCTAGAAAGGCCAAGGTCAAGGTTGCAGAATTAGGTTGCTCTAAATCCTCAAGGTTTGATTGTGGACCCACCGATAAACATTAGCCAAAAGAGGCACTTCTCCATCAAAGTCCTTCCTTGGAGAAATGGAAAAACAACACTGAGCCTACTCTATTGCTTTTCCATGGGTGTTTTTGTCTCATTTAGATTTTTAAGCTCCTTAAAGGGAAGTGATTCTCTCTTCTCGTCCTGGACACGCAATAGATACTAAGAAGTTTGTAGATGGCGTCTTGATTGCATAGAGAGGGAAAGCGAGCAACAACTACTCCAACAACCTCCTCTGATCAGGGAGTCTCAGTATAAGAATGATATGTTCACTAATTCGTCATTTGGTAAAACCAACCCCCATCCCCTGGATGTTTGAGTCTCAAACTGGTTGCCTTGTGTAGCTTACCTAGGATGTTATTTTAACTAACTTTGAATGTTAATGCCTTTAAGTGGACGCACACACACTCTGCTTTGTTACAGGCCACATCACGTCCCACTGCCTCACTCATCTGTATCAGCTGCCTGGCCTCTGAAGTCATCGTCTGCCACCCCAGCTTTGGGGAGACCCTAAGTGTACTTCTGCTACACCGTGAGTAGAAGTCACGAGACAAGAATCTCAGATCTGCATTTGGAAAAGTCATCTCTGCCCCAGCATGGAGAACAAATCAGAGACGGAAAGGAGTGAAGTTGGTGAGTGTGGTGAGGAAGCTATTGCAGGAGTCCAAGCAGAAAGTAAGGCTAGCTTAAATGAGGTCTCTGACAGGGACCTCCACCTGGACCTTGGCCTGCCGCTTCTGGAAACTCTCCATGCTCAGCATAGCCACCCCCACCCCCACCAAACCCTGGTTAAGGAGGAATCTTTTCTTGAAATCTCTATCCCCATGTTACGGATTTTTTGTGCTGCAATAATTCTCAAACTCTAGTGTGCATCAGAATCACCTGAGGGTTTGTTAAAAAACAGATCACTGGGCTCCACCCCACAACCCCCAGAGTTTCTGATTCAGATGGTATGGGGTGGGGACAAGAATTTGTATGTCCAACAAGTTCCAGGGGATGCTGAGGCTGCTGATCTGAAGTGCATAGTTTGAAAAACACTGAGCTAGAGCAGTGGTTCTTAGCCCTGGCTGCACATTAGAACCACTTGTGGCATTTTTTTTAAAATTTAGACACCCAGGCCACACCCCAGACCAACTGCAAAAGGATCTCTTAAAGATGGGACTTGGGAATTGGCATTTTAAAAAAATTCTCCAGTTAATTGCGATGTTCAGCTAAGGTTGAGAGCTACTAGGCTAGAGGCTCCTGGAGGCCATCACCAGGTCTAAAGTACTGTGATTGGTCATTTAAATGTGTTTTGGTCTAACGGAGGATTTTCAGAAATATACTTGGGAAGAGGTTGAAGATGGCCCCCTTGCAAAACAGAAGGGTATTCATTGAGCTTAAATATTCTGTTTAGGGAGTATTTGCTGTCTTCTTTTTTCTAATCAGACCCAAGTTAGTGGTGGCATTGATGGTGGTGGTGGTTCTGGAAGATGACAAGGGAGCATGAACTAAGTTAGGCTGGGTTGTATCATCGACTTGCAAAATATTAGACCTGACTATCTATACAAGGTCATCTAGTCCCACTCTATTTTCCAGTTGGGGAAACTGAGGCCCTGAACCGGACTTTAGGTCCATTTTCCCCCTCATTTTCTAAACTTGAGTTTAGCACACTAGCCAAAATCATTTCTAGTATCTTAAGCTGACATAGAGGAGCAAGTCAAGCCCCAAAAAGAAGCTACCCACAGGCTGCCAATTGTTTCCTTCACTTAGGCCAAACCTGCCACTCTGCTCAGCACCGAAAGAATGAGCCAGAAGGCACGGTCCTCTGGGCGAGTTGTTCTTCAAGTGCCCGGGTGAGAGGGGGATTTTTAGATTAACTGCTGGGTCCACACGAGAAATCTACAGGCTGTACCAGTCAAGCACAGCCTTGACTGCACAATACAATCAAGACTGACTATTTTCCTCTCTTAAAGGTAATATCAAGAGAGTAGAAATACAAAAGGTGGTTACCTTGAAAGACTGTGTGCTTATTTCATTAATGCTGCTATTGCCCTAAACATACTTGGAAGTATTTCAGGGAAATTTCTTTCAGACCTGGTTGACTTTCCACATTTCTGCCCAACCCAAGGCCTCTCTCATTCTTTTTATTCATTCATTCAACTGTTTGTTTTCATCTCTCTCCAAGGTTTCTCATGCTGCTAGCTATTAAAGTCTTTAAATAAACCTGTTCTTTTTAAGGAACAAATTTTCACGAACTGTATTTAGAGAAACTAATCTGGACCACCTTACTGTCACATCCAGGCGCTGGCCCTGGTTGAATGTCTACACCGTTCACCACATTTTGCTTTGATGGACTCTTGGTTGTTTTCAAAATTAAATTCCCCAAGCAAGCATTAAGATGCGACGCTATGGTCATCTCTAAGGACATTCAAATGTGAACAGAAAATAGTAGAAAACCTAGCAGTTTTAGAGGTGAGCCAAAACTGTGGTGCAATTCCACATCATTTCCTGCATTACTGATGAAGCATAGACCCAGGGCTGCTCACATCACACCTAGGCTGGGGCACTGAACTCTGAAAGTTGGGCATAAAAAGGGAGATACAAATGCTTACAAGGCAAAGGCAGGTAGGGCAGAGCAAGGACCAGAAATCATGTCCCAGAGGAAAGGCAATTTGGAGAGGCCTGAGGTTCTCCTTCCAGCATCTGGAGCACTACTTTTACCAGGTAAAAGAGAAATTAGACACATTTTGCGTAAGCATGAGGAGTTCAACTAGGACCCATAGGCAGATGCTATCTGGAGATAGACTTTGTTTCAAATATTTCTAGTCTCGAAACTGCCCTGAGATTGAATGGACTTCCTTGGGTGTGGTAGTGAGCTCACCATCACTGAAAGTGTTCAAGCATGGTGTGGAAGATCACTTAGCAGTGATGCTACAGAGAAGAGTAAAACATGGGGTGGAGAAGGTGTGGTCTCTAAAGTACCTTTCATTTGTGAAAGCACTGGACCAATGACAACAATGGCATAGATGGGGCTTTAAAAAAAAAAAAATCAAAACATTCTAAGACTTCTTTTGATAAAAATCACACATTATGTCCCAATCCTCAATCCTAAGGAAAAGTGGCATGTTAGAGAGTGAAAAGACCGTCTTCATCCTCTCTTCCATGCTGCATGTCATCAAGGACATTTTTACTTTCTCCAGCGTTGTCTAACCTACAAAGAGAAGAAAGAGGCTGATAATGGGAGACACCAAGACCAGAGTCCTTCAGTCCATCCAGTCCAAGCCACTCATTTCTCAGATGGGAAAACTGAGGCCACAGGGAATAAGGACTTTTTCCAATCTATTCTAATAAGGGAATTAAAAGTTTCTTACTAGCAAAATATGAAATGATCTAAATGTGTTTATTTACCAAAAGGACCTCCAAGTACAACCTTGGAAAGTCACCTGGCTAAGCCTCAGTTTCCCTAGTTGCTAATATTTATTTGTTAATAAATACTATGGTATTGATTTGATAAGGTCTTCATCACAGGTTATACCAAATTTTCTCATTTCTTTCCAAAAAGGTATAGAACATGACAGATATCTAAAATCCCTTTCCAGAGACTCTTCAAACTATTTTTAAGAAAAATAAAACAAAAAAGGAGCCCACCCTGTGGCCTAGTGTTTAAGCTCAGCACGCTTTGTTTCAGCGGCCCAGGTTTACTTCCCGAGCTCAGACCTACACCACTCATCAGCAGCCCTGCTGTGGCAGCATCCCACATACAAAATAGAGGAAGATTGGCATAGATGTTAGCTCAGGGCCAATCTTCCTCAGCAAAAAAATAATGAATAAATAAATAAATATATCCATAGATAGATAAAAAACAAAGGAATTGCTCCCATGGTCTAAACGGGCAGAGGAACCAAATCCCAGGAATGATATTCTACATGTCTTTTCATTTTCCATCCTGCCAAGTCTCCTCTCCAAGAACTCCAGTTTAACAAGGTCTTTTTAAAGTGAATTGGCTAGAGTTGGACAAAGAATTTCCAGCACAGAGTACAGTGCCTTATCACCTTCTTTTGTGTGTCTTACTGCTATTAATGCAACCTGTCTGTGTATTTGCATTTTGAACAAACATAACACAGTGTTAATCAAGACAGAGGTTAACGTCAGCTAAATCCCCAGGTCTTTTTCATCTCTAATGCCACATCTCTCCAGCCCTGTATTTAATCAGAACACAAGCACAAGTCATTAAACCACTGAGTAGTATCTAATCATTTGTAACAGCTTGTACAATCATTACAACAATCAGTCATGCAAGATAAATTACCTTGTGTGTTTCTGGAAACAATTGGTTTTCATGACTTTCCCTGAAAAGACAAGGCAATGTTGTAACAGACTACCCGTGCCAGAACCTGTGAAGTGCTAGGGGAAGGGCAAAGCTACCTTTTGAAGAGCAGAGGTGGTCCAAAGGGGAGAAGTTAGGGGCTGGCTCTGGCAGGGAAAGCCATTCCTCTTCCCAGGTCAAACGACTGATTTCTTTGGACCCCAAGACTGTGCCCATCAATTACAAAGTTGCTCCAGCGTTTGGGCCATGGCACTAAGCAGCTTCATTCTTGAGTCATTTGCCCTTCAAAATTCAAGGACTCCCTTGAATTTTAAAACACTTCCCTATGAGACATACCCAGAATTTTCAAAACTGTACCACACCCTTTTATGAGGGCTCATGGCAGGCTTCCACGAAGTCCCAAATTTCCTTTTGCAGTGTTCATCAGGGACAGGTGTTAAAATATACAAGTTTCACATCAAACAAGCTGAGATGGTTACTAGTCTTATCTCCTCACTTATTACCTTGAAACAGCTTCTGTTAATAACCGCAGAACAACTTTTTTTTTCATTTTACAATAGGACTAGGTGCCATATGCCTATACTTCGCATGCAAACTATAAAGCCTGTGTCATGACTCCTTTTTGTAGTGTTTTAAAACTGTTTGAAGACAGGGAGGTGGGGTGCAAGGTCATGGACCAGCTAGAGAATCTAATAAAAACTATGGACCCCATCCCCTGAAAATGCAGACATGAACATACGAGCACTTTAGCACATGATTTCAAGGGATTCAAATGTCCTCTGAGGTCTATCTGTGGACCCTAGGTTAAGAAAGCTTGCTTTAAAGGAACAAACATGAAGACAGACATCATTGATGGCTCTATTCCTGGGGCAATCTTGGCCAGAGGAGGAGCCCTGGCCAAGATGATGAGAATAATAGGACTTTCCACTTAAGCAGTAATAAGGTTGAAATGAGTTCGGCATGTCAAGAGTATAACATCAGGACTGGCACAGAATAAGTGTCCAATAAATGAAGGTGCTCTTATTTTTTTTCTTTTCCAAAATATAAATTCTATCAGAAGGATGATACACAAAGCCTGAGTATCTTAGGGAGAAGGAGTTGACTGTTAACTCCTCAGTTGGGATGCAGACAATGATAGAAATGGAGAGTGGAGAAGGGAACGGAGAAAGGGGCAGGAAGCAGAATCAAGGTGCTCCCAGGTTCTCCTGGAGTCTCCATAGCTCTGAAGGGCTCCATCCCACCTGGTCCTGTCCTCCTTACCTCGAATGAAAAACGCCACAAGCAAGGCCAACAGCACAAATCCCAGGGAGGGAGCAATGATCATCAGCAGGTCGAAGTTCTCAGCCATTTTTACCTGGTGAGACACAAGGAAGGCGATTGGGTCATTCCTTTTTGAACGTCATCCTCACATGAGTTTCCCCTCCCTATCTTATCTTCCAAACGCCCGCAGCTTCACTGCATCTCAGCACCTTCTGTCCGATGTGTCTTAAGATCAAAACGAAGCTAGTATTACAAATCAGAATTTTCTAAAAAATCTCTGCAGACCTGAAACATTTTACCAGGCCCCCAAAATTTCCTCAGTCTTAGATGTCAGGCATATGGGCTGTGGGGCTCGAGGGTCTGAAGATAAAAAAATAACTGGGCTGTGAGCTGTGTTTTCCATTGTTAAATCTCTTTGCTGGCCATAACCTGAATCCTTTGAGCTCCCCCTAGCCCTGTGCAGTTCTTCTCAGGGAGGACTTAGACTTCTAGAGGCAACAAGATTAAACAAAAAAATGGAACTCAATTTCAAATCTTCTGCAGCAATGGTTCTCAACGTGTAGCCAGGGGACCTGTGAGGTCCAAATGATTTCCAAGAGACATTCTTTGCCATTTCCACCGTCGTTCTCTCACGAGATGTCCAAGAGATGACGTGACACGTGATGTGATGATGTCATCACCCTGATGATGCAATATGTAAGCAGATTCGAGAGTCTCTCTGTCTCCTATCAAGCCAGACATTAATGAGGGTGCAAAAACGTAAAGCCATGCCACTTTCCTCACTAACATTTTTTCATTTGGGAAAATATACTTATTTTTCATAAAAATATTAACATGTAATGAGTTTGTTATTCTTATTTTTAAATGAATTCATAAATATCGTTTTTTAACTTCTCAGTTTTAATTTTTATGAATATAAAGGGATCCTGGCACCAAATAGTTCGAGAAGCGCTTCTTGACAGGCAGCATCTCATTCTTGTCGGGGGGATCTGCCATCTCCCATTGCCCAGGCCAGGCTCCATGCTCACCTTCTTGTCCCATTCTCCAACAGAGCAGCAAGGACAGGACAACTATCTCTCTCCAAGGAGAGAGCAGAGGAAAAAGACAGAAGGGAAGGAGGAACTTCACATTTCCTTTATAGATGTCTATACTGCCTGAAGTTTTTACTTAAAGTGGCCTGAATCCTTTTTGTAATAATAAACACTAATGGAGGATACTCTCAGGAAATGAGAGGAATGCTGGTGGCAGGTGCCGATTCTGCAGGACGTCACCAATCCCGGCCACACAGAAGGAACGCACATGATTTTCCATGTTTTTGTACTTTTTCCTTTTTTGCTTTTCAAAGCATCTGCACATACAGCAGTCACAATATCAACTTTATTTCTGCCAAGAGTCAAAGTCTACAAATTCCTTAGCTATTTCATAACAGCTGCGATTCATTTTGCCACTTAGACATATCTGCTCCCCTTGTGCATTTCTGCAAACCTGTACTGTGGATTTTTAAAATCTAAGTCATATACTTCAAATACCTCGCAAAGAATTTTACCTGTTCTGATTCAACTTCATCTTGCCCAGTAATTGCTGTCTCAGGTGCTGGGAAGGAAAAAGAGAAGAAAATGTTTATATTTCCTGTGGGAGAATAAAATACCACATCCTAAAATAGGTATTTCAAAGCTCATCTGGAATTTCCCTTGATATGTTTAATCTTTTCATCCCATCTTTCCTTTTTTGTGTACTTTATTTATGCATATTTGTTCTGATATGGTTGTATCTAAAGCTCGCTCATCTGCTATCCGACAGTATCCCACAGGAACATCTCCATTTTACAGATGGGTAGAGTGAGGCATTAGGCCAGCAGGCAATTGGGTCTAAGTTTTCTGTAGACCCCAGTAACGCGTTCAAGATTGTTATCCAGCAGGAAAATGTCAGTCTGTCAGTTAACAAATATTTATTGAGCACTTATTATAGGATGCACTATGCTAGTTATTTCATCAACCTTGTGGAATTTACAACTTAGTGCAGAAAATCAAATTTAAACAAATAACGTAAATAGTTGAAAAAATTACTAGCTACAACTGTGCAAAATTCTGGGAAGAAATAGTACAGGATATCCTAGGAGCATATCCTGAGGATGGCTGTGAAGTTTAAGCTGAGGCTGCAGTCACGTATTTATAACTGATAGTTGAATTCAACAGGGTAAAGACACTGAGAATTTACCTAGTGCTAAGCACTGTTCCAGACACAAAGAATGCTGAGGTGAATATGGCATGACCCCTACCCTCAAGAAATACATAGTACAGTAGGTAAGGGAGAACAGATGGTTATTTCAGCCTAACAGGCCAAGGGTAATAATGGAGTGTAGACAGGCTGCTGGAGAGGGCAGGCAGAGGGAGAAGCCCTGGCACATCGTAGTTTAGTAAGAGCTATTAGAATTAAGCTTTATGAGGACAGAGTCCCTCTCTGCCTGCTCCACTCTGGGACCCCAACACTGTCTGGCACATACTTGATATTCAATAAATGTTTGTTGAATGAATAATACCTGAGCTGAGTTAAGGTTGTATAAGAATTTGCAAAGAAAAGTGGCAAAGGTATTCCAGGTACACAGAACAGCATCAGCAAGGCTATGGAAGTGTGAAACAGTATGGTTCCCATGTGAGATGGCAAGCAGCTGTGAAGGTGTAAAATGAGGGATGAGATTGAGATGGGCAGGAACCAGTCATGGAAGGCCTTTGTTCCATGCTGATGAGTCTCAGTTTAATTCTGTAAGAAACAGGAAAACACAGAAATGTTTTAAACATGTTATGGAGCGGTTAGGAAGATAAAGAAACAGCCAGGATGAGAGTTACCATCTGATTCCAGGTCTGAAATTCTGAGCTAGTAGAAAAGAAGAGAGATAGAGAGAGAGAGATTTCAGAAATGCTTAGGAGGGAAATCAACAGGATATGGACATTGAATATGGGGGGTGAGAAATAGACAAGAGTCTTAGGGAACTCGCAGTCTCCTACTTGAGCCACTGGGTCATTGCCTGAATTGTCCACTAAGACTGGGGACAGCGGAAGCAGAGCAGAAGGGCAGGTCTTGGGGGAAAAAGGTGAGGAGCTCAAAGTTAGAGTCATTGAGTATATAAGGTACTTGAGGGACACACTCAAACACTAGTCGCCTAACAAGCAGTTAATGGATATGAATTGGAATCAAACTCAAGAAAAGACTGGAGTTGGAGATACTGATTTGGGAGTCATCAGTATCTGGGCAGCATTAAAATCCTCAGTGTATAAGAAATCCACAGGTTGTATGTCAAGAGAGAGAAAAGAGCAGGCATCCTGAGGAACCCAGCACTTAAATGGTCAGCAGAGAAGTGGGAGGAAAAGGGAGCTGAAGAAACGGGCAGAAAGCAGAAAGTGAGAGCAGTGTCATGGAAGCCATGGCTGGGGAAAATACTTAGGAAGGACGCAAAATCATACTTGCAATAAAACCCTCCAATAGAAACAGAACATAAAGCCACACAAAGACAAGGCCTGGATATAATAAATATCCAGGCTAATAACCACTGAAATTGATCATTGTTTGCCCCAAGCTTCCTCGCTCTCAAGGTAAAACGAGAGATGTGATAGGTTCTGTAAAGCTCATAATTTGGTATAAGAGAGCTTATTTGTTCAACAGGGAAAGCGACTTGTTGAATGCCAAGGAGCATAAAACTCCAAGGTGGAAATTCAGCATATTTTCATATCCTACAACTCAGTTATTGCTGTTTTTCCCTTCGCTATTATCCCCTCGAGCTGGAAATTGCAGGTAAGAATTCAAAACTCCTACCCCTGTTCTGTCCAAATCCTGTCGTATTACAATCATTGGTGATGGATAAGCCTGAAATTGAAACCATCAAAGAGAAAAGACAGCCTGGGTCAGTTTTGTCAGAGCTAATCTGTATTTTAAATTGGAATTGTCTAATGGGAGAGACAGTCTACAAGCACAAATACCACCAAGTGACACCAAACAGCACTTTTTCTCCTCTTTTTTCTTCAGAAAATGCCAAAAGCCCCCATGGGCAGCACTGTAAGGGCCACAGCATTATACACCAAATAGCAATAAGAAACACAAATTGATGGCAATTTTTCCTCCTTGTGAGAAGTAGCAGTGCTAACAGCTAGGGGCTGGGATTAGACAAGTCAAGACGGCTGGTTCTTCTGTTGTCTGTGCTCTCCTGGCCCTTGTGTTCTCAAGGCCCTGAACTCTGACACATGGACATTCAGGCAAAGGCAGGAGCCTCCCAGAGCTTGCCAGAAAAGCAATTGAGCAAGAGGAGAATTATAGTTGGTTAAATAGTGTCCCCTCCAAAATCATATCTACCCAGAACCTCAGACTGTGACCTTATTTAGAAAAAGGACATCTTTATAGATGTAATCAGTTAAAGATCTTGAGATGAAATCATCCTAGGTTTAGGACAGGCCCTGAGTCCAATGGCTGGTATCTTTATAAAAAGAGAAGAGGACACAGAGAGACACACAGAGGACACACACACATACAGTGAAGGCCATGTGAACACAGAGGCAGAGATTGGAGTGATGCTGTCTCAAGCCAAGGAATCACCGGGGCACCAGAAGCTGGAAGAGGCAAGGAAGGATGCTCCCCTAGAGCCTTCAGAGGGAGCACGGCCCTGCTGACACCTTGATTTCAGACTTCTAGCCTCCAGAACTGTGAGAGAACACATTTCTGTTGTTCTAAGCCACCTGGCTTGCAGAGCTTTGTTACTGCGGTCCTGGGGAACCAATACAAAAATTAAAGGGAATTGACATGGAAAGGGTGAGAGTAGACTTTGATAGGGGTAACCAACCTAAGAAAGAGCCAGGAAATGGGTCTGAGCACAAGTAAGAAAACTAAATCCAATTGAAAGGCCTACCATTAAACTCAAAAGAGTGTTAGTCTAATGTCATATTATTAATAACATTGCAATGAATATTTATTCCTCACAAAAAACCATATGGGACAGACATTATCCCATATTGCTAGTGAAAAACTGAGGTTCAGAGGGTTGAGCAGCATGATCAAGGTTGGACAGGATGTAAGTGGTGGGGCTGAGATTTGAACCTGTCTGATTGACATCAACACCTATGCTCTTAACGACCTCATTATACTGAAGCTAAAGCACAATTGTACTGTGTAGATAGCATGTCCTACAGATGCAAGAAGGAATGTTCAGTACTGCTACTAGCATTGAATCTGGCAAAGAAATGGTCCAGAACAGTTGTCTCCAAAGAGGGCTCAGTGCTCACCATGAATGTACAAGGCCATCCACTGGGAGTGGGGAAAATGAGAATTTCCATTGAAGTTTATTTAAATCTCATCTTTTAATCATTTATTTGGAAGGGATATATTTTGAAATGTACATATTAGTGTAGAGGTATGTGTGAAAAAATTATATAAATGTTTTACTGCTAAGAATACATTATTAATTGAATCTAGAGAAGAATGAGTCATTTTTCTCTCATAGTTTGGAGACTATGGTAAGCAGAATAATGACACCCAAAGGTGTCCACATGCTAATCTTCAGAACCTGTGAATATGTTACCTTATATGGCAAAAGAAACTGCAATGTGATTAAGTGAAGGATCCTGAGATGGAAGATTATCCAGGATTATCCAGTAGGCCCAATGTAGTCACAAGGGTCATTATAAGGGGGAGGTAAAAGGTCAAAGTCAGAGAGGAGATGTGATGATAGAAGATGATGATGGGTGAAGAGGTGAGAGAGAGAGAGTTGAAGATGCAATGCTGCTGGCTTTAAAGATGGAAGAAGGAACAGCAAGCCAAGAAATGCAGGCAGCCTCTTGAAGCTGGAAAAGGCAGGAAATGGACTCTCCCCTAGAGCTTCCAGAAGGCATGCAGCCCTGCCGACACCTTGATTCCTGGCCTCCCACCGTCCAGAACCATCAGATAATATATCTGTGCTGTTTTAAACCACTGTTGATGGCAATTTGTTATAGCAGCAACAGGAAACTAATACAGAGACACTGATCACTAAGATCTAAGAGAACAGTGGCTCTGGAGCCACGCACAAGGGATGAAAGGAAAACTGACCTTTCATTTAAAATTTTTGGTATGCTTTGTACCTTTTCCATGTACGTGTACTATCTATCTTAAAATAAATTAATTAAAATTTAATAACAACAAAAACTATCTTAAAATTAACCACTCTTTTCCTGGGTCCACAGGCCAGAGGACACGGGTACTCCAGCAAAATGGAATTCCTGTAAAACATAACCCCAGACCTCAGAGCACCATGAAGCTGCAACCTGGCCTCCCCCATGCTTTACCTAAATACTGAGTATTTACCCCAGGTTTCTCAACTGTGTGAACCTGGGCACGACATTTCCTCTCTCCGAGCCACAGTTTGTTTATTTGAATTGTTGATATTTCACCAGCTTATCTCCTTCCCCCTTCTTGACCTTTATATTTCTGTGTGACTTTTTACAAAGAACTTGAATGAACAGAGAAAACTATCATTACAAAATAACTTTTTTAAAGGCTATAAAGCTATACTTAGTATAGGGAATGACTATGTAAATACAAAAATATACTGAAATAGACAGACAAACACAGGC